TATACAACGAAAGGAGACTGCGACCACACAAAGGCCACACCATCTTGGTCTTCATACCTTCGATTGATATACACGAGTTTTATTTATTTTTATCTCTTACTTACGAATAGTCATACTTAGGTCAGGGCGCTATGGAAAAATTTTAATTGAAAAAGGGCGCCGCGACTAGGAAAAGTTTGGGAACCACTGTCTTAATACATTGACATAAAAGTGCCTTTCATAAGTTGATCTCACCGGAAGCTGTAGGGAGATTGCCTTGGAGCTGTGACTGTAGATTTGTGCGAATATTCTCGGCAAGGATTAATCAGTCGCAGGGCGGTGCACCGAGGACCGAATCGCACAAACCTACTCACAGCTCCAAGGCGATCTCACTAGAGCTTCCGAGGAGGCCAGCTTATGAATCCCCTCCACTCGCCTCTTCGAGCAATTGAAAGGTACTTCAACATCAAACTAATAGTTGTTGTTAAAATGGGCGACACTACTATCCATTGAATAAATCTCGTTTAAAACTATGATTGAGGTGAATGATCCAAGAAGACCTAATGAAAGGCCAAGTGTCATATTAAGGCCCACACATTTTATTGGAGGAAATTCGATTATCAGCCCTAGGATGATTCAAGTAATTATTCAAGGTCCACTGATAATTGAAAAACATACTTATCCAGTACCTTTAGTCGAGAAAGAACGCGCTTACCAAGGGCGTAATTTGTATAAAATTCAAACTATTGGGGTTTAAACAGAGCTAGTGACAGGATGCAAACCTGTTACCTGAGTGTAGAAATAGCGCAACTCCTCGTTCACTACTATAATGGAAAGCATAAAGCTGTGTCAAGAAGCAGAATAGACAATGGGCCGTGTAACAATTTATGTAAACAAGCGTCACTTCCACTTTGAACATACGCCTGTTGCTTGCTGATAGCCGCCCCTCTGTGTAGTAGTTAATGGTGGCGCTATTGAACCAAGCACAAGGTCGAGGGCGGATAAGTGGCGAAAAGCCTTGAAGGTAATCACAACCTCCATTATATGACTGTTGAATTCCATTTAGAAAAACCAGAAAGATAAATAGTGTAGAATTTGGCCAACTTGGGTCCTCTGCAATTTTTGACGGCTACTCCTCTTTGTAAATTAAAGACAGCACGGCTTAGAAACAAGTATAATCCAGAACAAAGCTCGTGAAATGATCGGACCGATTGGTATAATAGGTCCTAGGTCAGACGATAAGCAGGAACTGGCACAGCAGCATAGCCCAAAATGAACATATTCAGGATGACAAAAACTTTAGCCTGCTCAACCGCTTTTGCCAGGTTCCACTGGCAAAGTAATAGAACCATGCTCAATTTAAGACATTTCTTTATCGATCAGTGGTAACATCCTCTTTAGAGGATGGTATGCAAGAACAGGAACGGGCCCAGCAATTAAAATAGCATATCGGAACGCGAGACATGGAGAAAGGTGAACTAAGGAATCTGCTGGCTTGGTTCGAAGTGCAGAAAATAGTTGTATTGTATCAAATCAAGGATGAGGCACATGTAAGGGTGATTGATGAATATTCATTCATATGACACTTTGCCATGCAGATCTAATAAGAAACCGAGCCTTGAAGCGATAAAGACTAACATCCACTGATGAACAACAAATACTCATGGTATACCAAACAAAGTAGTGTGCTGCATCCACAATCGAGCCATTCGAGAAAGTAGCAGACAGTAATGTCAGATAATAGAGGCTCGTCACTGACCAAGTCATCGATGTGCAAGATGCAGTACAACAGGAGCAACATAAACGAATACGGGGGAAGCTAAAACTTGAGAAAGAGTATTTTACCAAACTAAAGAGCCCCAAAGGTATGAATGACGTTATCATTACACTAAGGCGCAGAACTAGCTCCTAAGTGAACAGATAAAGAAAAAGCGATCTCACCGGTGGCGATTAGATAAGACGAGAGCTATGGTTGGTTATTTAAGGATTCAATGTGGACGGATGAACGAAATATGAAGTAAACAGCTGACAGCCATATCCAAACAAGCTTTTGATGCCTTAATCATGAGATATAATGGGCCAGTATACGCGGGGATAGATAATCTAAACGTTTATCATCTTCTGAGTAGCATCCCGAGCATAGTCAAAAAGTAAAGTGCAACGAACGTTAGAGTGAGTTTAGGCGGAATGTGTGAAGCCAATTGGCAGTCAGCAAAGATGTGATTAAAAGAACATTAGGGAGTATTTTCTAACAAAAAAAGAGATTATTTTATTCATATTTGATATATTGAATCAACCTGGACGCCGAGGCTACGTAAGTCAAGTATTTATAAGTTTATCCGATAAGAAGTGGCGGCGACTGTACTAGACGTAAAAATGTTTTACCAAAGTATAAATAGATGTATATGCAAAATTTTCGGTATATATATATATATATATACGCAAGTGTATGCAAATGTAGATGAGAATGCAAGAACAAGATATTGGTGAATAT